ATAAATGGTGAGGATGCAACAGAAGCCCATGGTAGGGTGAGCCCAGCTCTGCCTCAGTCCTAGGCAAGAGGACCTACGAAGATGAATGTGCCTACTTTTGATCCAGTTACCATAATTCAGAATTGTTAGCCCTTACATTATGCTCAAATTAGTGAACCAATTTCCTTGTATTTCAGTTTGATGGCTTTAAAATCAAGGAACTCTATACTTGAGTTTATTTAATGGGCTGATAAACTGCCAGGATCATGAATTCATTGTTAAACATTAGCCTGGAAGTGAAAGATAAGAATGCACATGCTTTGTCTACAGATGGAGCAAGTTGTCATTCAAAGCTGAAAAATATAGCTAAGGAGTTTAAGAACGAGAAGAACATAAGTTCAAGACCCAAGAGGAGAACGTGAGACCAGACAATGTGCCAATTAATGAAATTAAATGGAAAAGATTTAAAATGAGGTCCCCTCAGGAGGCAGTGCAAAAGAAAAGGCAGTTAATTCAATAAGGACAAAAGGATAAGCGAGCTAACTATGAGAGGATCAGAATATTTAAAGTTGATAGTGTCTTAAGAATTAAAGAACATTGGCTTGTGATTGCTGTGAATTTATTAAACCCCAGTAGCTTGTTCTAATTTGGACCCCTTCATTCTCTGAACAAATATGCTCATCCTGACATTCCAGGACAAAAGAAATAATCCTTTTTGTTGCAGTCAAGCTATAAAAGTGATTATGATCAGCAGCCATTCACAGAGGAATAAATAAAGGACCCATCCATCATGCTAGTAAAGTTTTCAATCCATCTGCCATGTTGCATCTCAAAGACTTTTGCACTACATTTTGCTTGTTATAAAAGGTGTACTTAAAATAAATTTTATATTTGGAAACTCCCCAGCACACTGAGAATCTAAATGTACAGATGTAATTTCTCTTTTGCTAAGCAGGTTTTAAAGTGCTGAAGGAATGGTAGGGGGTAGTTAATAGAGTGCAATAAAGTGAATCTGTGTGTCTGTGGAGCAAATAACTGAAAATATGAATTTAAGAAATTCTGTTATGGGCTATATTCTCTACAAAAGCAGTTGTGCAGTGCCATTATTCAATTGTGTCTCAACAAATATGCCTCTAAAGACCAAAATGTAAAGACTACAGTAGGGAGTAGATTTAAAATACTATACCAAATGCCAAGGCATCAAATCCTGTTAACTGAGCTTTAGCAAGTTCTCCCTAGGAGAACATCTCTGAGGACACACACACAATCAGTAGAGGCAAATAATATTATCTGAGGACAGAAGGTTATAAACTTGAGGGAAGGATGCCTTTTGTCAATAGGTGTCAATGAGAGGGAAATAAGCATGGTTATATTAAGAAGCTTCTTAATCTGATATTTATACCCAAAGAGTATCAGACCTTATCATTGTTCTGCAGGTGATAAATCAAAACTTTTTAAATTTTTTATGAAACCCTGGTCTACCCAGATTTCATTATCTGAAAAATTCAGAAGGAAGAACAATAAATTTTATAGTATTTGAATTTTTTTGCTGTGTATGATCTAGATTTTCTAGCAAAGCAATTATACTAACATGATTTTCTCTTGCTCTACCTGTCTCAACTATGTGTTCATATAACTAAAATTAATTTCATAAAGGTAGCAAAAATGCTATTAGTCCATAAAGAAGTACAGCAATGCTTTAAACCCCACCGTAATTCTCTGCTCTAATGCATTTCTTTAAAACATTTACTTAAAATTGGGGGTGGAGGATAGGGATTCTACTTTATTAGCAGACTTTGCTGCTTGGCATATGTTTTGTTAGTTATGTATTTTAAGGGACTTGGCATTTAGCCTCTGGCATGACAGGATTCCTGCCACCCATCCATGCTAATTAATCTAGATCTTAACCAAAAAACCAAAGTGGACACCTTTGGAGATTCTCAAATCCTTATCTTATCAGGACACAGCAACTCTAACATTGCCATAGGTCTGCTCTCCAAGAACTTCAAACTTCTTCTAGAGCTTTTTGTAAGAGCTTCTGAATTTATGCCCAAAAGGCCAAGAACAAGAACCTAGAGATAAATTCCAGTGAAATATGCATGGAATTTGAAAGTGTACTAGAAACATGTTTACATTTAATGTAGGGTCCATACTTCATGACATAATGCACAGGTGAATGTCAATTTTCATACTCAGGAGTTGCTTCATCTCATGGGTCAATGTGTCATCATACTTAAGACAATTGCCTTTTCAGAATATTGATTTATGGCGAATCTAGTCCAACATTTCTCTGCAATCCAGAGGTCCAGGGGAAGAGGAAGCTCTAGCAAATGGGTACTTAAGATACTCTACCTATCACATGCATGACACTATGGCACAGAACAGAAAAGAGGATATAGATGTGATATTTATTTACTTATTTACCTATTTACTTAGAGAGAGAGAGAGAGAGAGAGGGAGAGAGAGAGAAGAAAGGCAAAGAAAGAGAAGAGAGAAGTGAGAGCTACCATCTCTTGGGTCACTTCCAAAATGCCCACAATGGCTGTGGCTGGGCCTGACCAAAATCCTAAGTGAATGGCAAGAACCCAATCACCTGACCCATCATTTGCTGTCTCCATGGGTCTACATTAGTAGAAAGCTGGAATCAGGATCATGAGTTGAGTATCAAATCCAAGCATTCTCAAATGGGATGTGTGGCTGTCTTAAACCTATGCCAAATACCCACCCCCAAGAGATGATTGTTTTTATTGTTGTTCAAGTTTATTTGCTAATTCATTGGAACAAACGGAGTGAAGAATGGGGGGGGGGGTGGAATATGAGACATCTTCCATCTGCTACTTCACTCCCCAGATGTGTACAACAGCTGGGGCTGGGCTAGACTGAAGCCAGGAGCCAGGAAAGCAATTTTGTTCTTCTAGGCAGGGATCTAAGTACTTGATACATCGTTTCCTGCCTCCCAGGAATATTGACAGGAAGCTGGATAAGAAGCCTAAGCAAGAATAAATCCCAGGTACTCTGATATGGCATGTAGGTATTCCACGTGGCAGGTTAACCCACTGTACCATAGTGCTCATGTGAAAATATGATTCTGATTCAGCCACGATACAAACATATGGGGACCTGTGCTAAATACCAAGAGGGAAACGAGGCGGGGAGGAAATTAACAATTTTATGAATGATTTGGACCTTATTCAATGATCTTTTTGGAGGGAGTAGAGGGGAACTCACCAGCATGTTTCAGACATTGTATAAGAAATTTTAAATATTTTAAATACTCTAATTCAAAATGTAAGTAGTAGATATTCTAAACATTAGTGCTGAGAAGGAGAAAATCATTGTGGTTTAGGTAATTTGGAGATGGTTTCATGGAATAGCTGATCCTATAAGCAAGTCTTACAAGACACAGTAGAATTAATGAACATTGGAAAAATGTGTGTAATGATTGCAGGGGAAGAAGGCCTTCAAGATAGAGATTAGAATAAGTAAGGCAAGGTGGGAGGATTTGGTATGAGCATTTGTGAGTTTCACTCTGCTGATCATTTGCTATTCCGTTGTCACTTCTCTCATCTAAAAGCTATCAATAATTCATCTGACCTGTTTACTGTGATGACCACAGAAACAACTGCAGGGAGATCCTTTCAGTTTTTGAGATTCATGGCATACAGTGAACAATCATTCAGCGGAGCCAGGCCAGTTCCTCCTTCTGCAAATTGCCAATGTTGCAGCAGCGCTGCTCATCCATTGTCGTGGTCAGTGTTGAAAGGTCAATGTTCTCATTTTATATTTAGAGCATCCAGAGCTGCTTTAATCCCAGAGAAGGTGTCTGACTTATACTGTACGGTGACTTGTTTAGTCAGCAAGAAATTATCTCCTAATATAATTCTGAGTTTGCTGACTATGAAGTCTGCTGTACCTAAAAGAAGCCCCTGCTCCTTCAGCCAAAGAGAATTCTGTGCCATGCATTCACCTGCTTGAGAAAGTCACTAATCTCTCTGTGAGGTGCTCTTGAGAACCATGGGCAAAGTGATCAGTAGAGGAGGAGAGGAAAGGAAAGACGATTCTATAAAAATAGGGTTCACAAAATACATAAAAAGGAAGTCTCAGCTTTTATTTTATTGCTCTTGTACTGCATTTAAAAATGGGGTTGTTGTATGGCTGCATGACATTGTGCAAGTAAATTAGAAGACCTGAGCTCTTCCAGTTTAGCAGCAGAAATCCAGTTTCTAAGCACAAGCTAAATGCTCCCCAGACTTCTCTGTCTATGGTTTATGGTTTTATTTGAAAGTCCCCAAATAAAAGTATTCTAGTCTCCAATCTTCAGCATTGAACAAAAATCCATTCCTTCCCCTAAGAATTTTTAAGATGCCTAGGGAATCTAAAAATGGAGTGTCCAGAGTCTCCTCTCCTTTCAGGCTTTCATCCAGGCATTTCCCTCCTGCTGTCTTGCCCTGATCTGCTTTGCTCCACGTGCAAAGCTCCACCTTTCATTCCCCTGGGCACCACTGAACTTGGGGCTTTGTGTTTTAAGAGTTTTTAGGAAAGATTTGAGACTATCATAAGGGAATTACAAAGAAACAAAACTTGGAACCTGTTCTCCTCAGGGTCTCCCAGCCATACTCAGAAACCAAGAGATGTCTTGTTGGCTGGTCCTCTCTTAGGGCCCTTGCCTGCTGGCATATTGCATAGTTCCTTTTATGTCTAGATGCACACTGTTTCTCTTTTATTCTCTCTTTCTAGCCCTTGGGCTTACCAAATATGGCACCAAATCCTTTATGTACATTAAGAAATCTCTCTGCAAATTCAACTCCCATTCCCCATGGAAAAACACTTCTATATTATTTATAGGTAAATTCCTTTTAATTATTCCAATCTCTCCTTCCATACAAAGTTGGACCTAAATGCCCCTGAAAGTATATCTCTTCTCTCAAAAAAATGCTATTTATCTGAGTTGAAATGCAGAAATAACTATTTAGCATCTTTTAGAACAGCAATGGTTTTTTTTTTTTTTTTTTAATCCACAGGCACAAGACAGAGCAAGGAAAGAGGCCAGGCATGCAAAGAAGAAATAAAGGGAGAAATCAGAACACTGAACCATTTGGAAGAAAGGTGCTCTCAAATCTTATGACCCTGTAAGGGTGAGTTGAGAATTCAAACATACATGAGGCTGCTGGTGTCGACCCAGAGCTTCCTGCAAGTTCAAATGTGATAACTTGAACACATAGAAACACATTTGTTACTGGCCTGTGTTGAAAAACACATCTGCCATTGAGGGCAGAATTTCTCAAAGGCGCTTTCAGGCCTTTGTTACAATCTATTATTTAATTTTTTTCCCATAATTATAGGCCTTTGAGAGTAAAATAAGAAAGTGGGTTTTGATGTTGTGGCACAGAGGGCCAAACCACCAATTGGGATATCAGCATCCCATATCAAAGTGCTGATTTGAGTCTTGGTTGCTCTATTTCTAACCCAGCTCCCTGCTAATTCACCTGGGAGGCAGTGCAAGATGACCCAAGTACTTGGGCCCCTGTCACCGATGTGGGAGACCAGAATGGAGTTCCTGGCTTCAGCTTGGCCCAGAATCAGTGGATTGGAGATCTCTCTCCGCATCTTTCAAATAAACAAATAAATAAATCTTTTTGAAAATTAAAATAAGAATGTATTCTTAGTCGCCACCTCAATTGATGCACAAGTAATTTATAATATTAGTCTCTAAAAGTAAATGGATTTTTAATTTTAAAAAAATCATTATATTCTATTCTTTAAAGTAGATATGTGAAGACAATTAGGTATATGAAGAATGAAAAACATTCTTCAAAGACATTCAGTAAGGTTTTATAGGATTAGTAGATAATTCATTTTCTGAAAAATGTATTTTAAGACTTCTGTTGCATATATATTCAATGAAATAACACTTTTAAAAAGCAATTTTAAATTCTGAAGTGTCTAACTTAAAAACAAGGTAAATTATGTACTTAGGAAAGCACAAAAATTTCAATTTTCTGTGTTATTATTACTTTATCACCAGTACTAGTTCTTTTCTAAGTTTATTTATTTCCAAATACATTTGTTACATTTAATGGTGAACATCATAAAACTCCACCCAAGAACATCAAGGCAAGTAAATAATGTTATTTTGGTGATCTTGTGAGTAAGAAATCTGCCCCTACATGCACCTTTTTTATAGATGACCTTTTTGAAAGAAATCCTTCTTGAGAATTCTTACTATAATCTCTTATATTCTTCAAACTAGCCTGCCATATATGCTTTAATGACATATTATTTCTTAATGCCTAGCAATGAAACCAATACTATTATTCTTAACACCATCGTGTAGTCTTCCACTTTGAGTGAAATCTTCATTAATAATAAACTATCTTGTGCATATTTTCAATTTACAGAATTTATACATATTAGCATGGAGTTGCTGCTAAGCAGAAATTAATTTAAAACACCCTGAAAAATGCTCTGTTAGATACTACTTAGGTTGAAAAGATCTCGATGTTCAGAAAGGTTAAATGAAGTTCATACAGGAATTCTTTTGAGACTCCTCATGTAGGACTCAGTGGAGACAGACACTTCCATTACTTCATAAGAGAATTCAGTTTAGTGCTGAGCTAAAGTAAAGAAATATGAAGTTGGAAGATTATTTCTTCATTTATTTTGCTTTTCACAGCATCATCCTACATCTGAGAGTAGTGAGGTCTGGATCTACTTTTGTTTCTGTCCTCAATCAACTGTTCATCATTGACCAGATCTTGGAACATCTCTAATCTTCAGTTTTACGCTTATTTATTTATTTATTTATTTATATTTTATTTTATTTAATGAACATAAATTTCCAAAGTACAGCCTATGGATTACAATAGCTCCCCCCCCCCAGTTTTACACTTATAAAAGACAATGATTATGGTTGTTAGTGCATAAAATTCTGTTTAGCTGAAAATCATATATCCGATAATGGGCATGTACCTAGAATATAAAAAAGACTCTTGCAAGTCAAAAATAAAATGGTAACCTGATTTAAAACTGGGCAAAAGATCTGAACAGACATTTCTCAAAAGAGTATATACAGGGTCCCGTGCTGTGGTGTAGCAGGTTAAGCCACCATCTGTGGTGTCCGCATCCTATATGAGTGCTGGTTCGAGTTCCAGATGCTCTACTTCTGATCCAGCTCCATGCTGAAGCACCTGGGAAAGCAACAGAAAATGGTGCAAGTGCTTGGGCACCTGCAGTCACATGGGAAATCAGAAGTTCCTGGCTCCTGGCTTTGGATCAGCCCAGTTTTGCATTGAGGCCATTTGGGGAGTGAACCAGCAGATGGAAGATTTTCTCTCTCTCTCTCTCTCTCTCTCTCTCTCTCTCTCTCTCTAACTCTGCTTTTCAAATAAATAAATAAATATAGGGCCAGCGCTGTGGTGTAGCAGGTAAAGCCACCACCTGCAGTTTCGGCATCTTATGAGTGCCAGTTCGAGTCCCAGCTGCTCCACTTCCAATCCAGCTCTCTGCTATAGCCTGGGAAAACAGTAGAAAATGGCCCAAATTCTTGGGCTTCTGCACCCACGTGGGAGACCCTGAAGAAGCTCCTGGCTCCTGGCTTTGGATTGGTATAGCTCTGGCTGTTGCAGCCAGATGGGAAGTGAACCAGTGAACAGAAGACCTATCTCTCTCTCTCTCTGCCTCTCCTTCTCTCTCTATGTAACTCTGCCTTTCAAGTAAATAAATAAATCTTAAAAAAACACAAATAAATAAACATTTTTTAAATAGAGCATATACAAATGTAAAATAAGCATTATGAATGATGCTTAATGTTGTGAGTCATTAAGGTAATACAAACTTAAATCATGAACTACTGTTTGTTTTTCACTAGAATGGCTACATTCAAAAAGATGGATAATCAGGGACCTGTGTTGTGGCGTAGCAGGTGGAGTTGCTACCTGAGACACCAGTATTGCATATAAACACTAGTTCATGTCCCATCTGCTCCTCTTCCTATCCATCTCCCTGATAATGGCCTGGGAAAAGCATGTGCTTGGGCCCCTGCACCCATATGGAAAACCAGAAGACGCTCCTGGCTCCTGGCTTCAGTCTAGCCCAGCCCTGGCTGTTAGCGGCCTCTTGGGGAGTGAACCACTGGATGGAAGATCTCTGTCTTTCGATCTCTCTCTGTAACTCTGACTTTCAAATGAACAAATAAATATTTCTTTTAAAAGAAATAAATATTTTAAAAAACAAATAGAAATCAGAAAGATAAGTATAGAGGAGGCTGTGGAGAATTTGGGATCATTGTACACTTCCGATGAGAATGTAAAATGTGGCCAGTTTGGAAAACTTCCAATTTCTAAAATGTTAAACTTGGAGTTATCATATGACCCAATAAGTCAACTCCTAAATCTATATACTCAAGGGAACTGAAAATACAGCACAATAAAAACTCTTGGACATAAGTACTAACATCACCATAATGATAAATAAACAAAAGTGGAAACAATCTAAAACTGATATTCATAAACTGATAGCCATAAATTGTTATATTATTCAACTATCAAAAGGAATGAAGTCTTGATACATGCTGTCACATGAATGAACTCAAAGCTTTATGCTAAGTGAAAGAAACTAGCTCCAAAAGACCTCATGTTGCATGATTCCATTTTTGGTAAATGTCCCAACAGACAAATCCATTGAAATACAAATCAGATTAATAGTTCCCTGGCTCTGGAGAGAAGGATAGGAGGGTGGGAGTAGGGACTGATTGCTAAAGGGCATGGGATTTCTTTGGCATTGATAAAAATGAAACTTAAATTGATTTTCTGCTGGTCGAAAAACATGAATATACTGAAACTGTTGAACTGTATACTTTGAGTGGGTGCATATTTTAAGTATACTTATATATTTTAATTGAATTATGTGATATAAAACTAAATCAATTATGGAAATATCCTGTCTGCCTCTAAAACATGATTTTATTAATAATTAATATTATTAGCTATCACTTTTGTGTTTGTCCTTATGAGATACTTTATGACTTTTATTTCAATAAAGTATATTCTTTAGGTAAATTTGGTATGTGCTTGTTTAGAAGGCAATTGACTTTTTAAAAATATGAAAATTTTACTTTTAAAATCTCTATACTGGTATCTCAATACTATTCCTGATTTCTATATGTCACCAGTAAAACTTTAAAGAACAATCTATTTTTGTGTATTATGATGCCTCCATGAGTCTTAGCAACAACAAATCTTGTATCAGATTAATTTGAAGTCCCTGCCACAGTTATCACAAGCATGAACATAGCAATAGTAATAAGCAGTGAAGGCACACTGCATTTTGTTTGTAGTCAAGGAACCGGTTTTCATGGGTGTTTGGCAGACAAGGAGAAATAGAGTAGAATGCATGGTGTGAGTGTCAGATGTCAGTCACTAAGAAACCACAGTGAGTTGTAGGACTCAGCTAGCTTCTTTAGATCCAGTATTCACAAATATGGGACTTGAGGCAGAGGCAAATCCAGAAGCTTTGTCACAGCTGATTTTTCTTTGCTACCCAGGTGATGAATGTGGCAAAACCAGAAAGAAGGGCTTGATTTCAGAGTATAATTTGTAGCAGAGTATAGCTGAATGTCTGTTTTGCAATTAGTTTTGTGAGTTTTATAGCACTGAAGCCAGCATATTTGTAAGAAATATCAGCACTTTAGAGGCAGACATGAGTAATAATAAGACGCTATCAACCAAGACTTTCACGAGCACCAAATTTCCATTAGAGGAGGTAGAGAAAGGGAGAAAATAAGATAATCCTTAATGGACATGTGAAAGACACCCTCTGGGGACTCTCAAAAACACTTGCGGTATGGAATGCAGAGTTAATAACCCAAGTCTTGCTTACATGGATAAAGTTTAGAAATTATTATTAATGTGGAGTAAAGAGCTGTGCAGGGTTTGAGATTATATCCTATTCGTGAATTTAACTTAAAATCTGTTAATTGCAAGTTAGCATGTTATCCTTTTACAGATTCATGGATCCTAGTTGAAGACTTATGACTCCCAGGTCAGATACAATGGACGTTTTATCACTCATAGTGATAGTAGTGGCAAGAGTACCAAAAGTATTTTTGTGCATTAATTCTTCAAATCCCAAATGTCCC